CCTCCCTCCTCCTCCTCCTCACACTTTTCTCCTGTCCCCCTCCTCCTACTCCCCGCAACGCCGCGCAAAGATCTCATGGAAATTCCGCTCCCACCCGTACACTGACCGTGCATTCTCCCCCTCGCCAAGTCGTCGGAAGCGGGGCCCGCGCGAGCGCCTGCCGTTTGCAGTTCGAAAGGCGGATCGCGCCTAGCGCGCGCCAGTTCTAATGTCGAGTTACGCCGCTGTCGGTTACGCTGTTATGGGAGAGAGGGTGAGAGTGGGCGGGGCCCGCTGCCTCGACCTGGCTGACTTGACTCCGCCCCGATCCCTCCCTGGGCACAGATCCAGAGCGGACGGAATCCGTCCACTGCGGGCGGGAGTTCTGCGGGTGGCGCATTTCGGAACCACTTCCGCCACCGCAGGCTCGAAATGCAGCTGGGCCCGACGCCAAAACGAACCTTGCGTCGGGCGCAGCAGGCAAGGTCTCACGTCGCCGCGTGAGAAGAGGACCCCGCCGACAGGCAGTGCGGCACAGCGGGAACGCCGACCGCCTGGGCCGGCGGGGTCAGCAAACGAATGTCCATTGCGCGCTTCCACGCGCCGTCAAGCTTGAATTCACCAGCACGCAGGCGATCGAGGATTTGCCTGCGGTCCTTAGAGAGCCTGAGCGGTTTGCATTCTGACGCTAATGACACCACACGAAAGGTGGTGAACGAAGCACAGGACATGCAGCAGAACACAGGCTTAGATGCAACAAGAAAAGCCCCCACCTGATGAGCTCTCAACCCAGAATCGCGCAACACGACTTGCGCGGCAAGGATTCTTTGCTCAAGGGTGGGGGGCTCTGGCTTGACAAGGATGAAGGAGGGGGCTGCAGAGGTGCTAGGGCGCTGGCGGTGCAGGCAATCAGCTGACGCGGCAGACTCACCTGCTCTCGCAATCCACCTCCCAGTAATTCCAACCCTCCTCCTCTTCGTGTTGAGTAACTTCAAAAACTCGGGCGGCGCACGCAGCTCGCGAGCACGCATCTTCGCCGCCAGGTCGGCAGCGTGATTCCCGATCTTGTCTCTGAGAGAGTGGCGCCCAGAGTCGACCCCGTGCTCCGTCGCATGTGCTTTCACCTTCCTCACTTCTGGTAACTCACCTCCCCAGTCATCAATTTTTATCCAGACATTTTCCACAAGCAGGCCCAGGCTGAGGATGCATGCGCGGTGGCGTCAGGACCACGCACGTTCACTCCACGCCACACGAAATCCGAATCCGTGTGAAATACTGCGGGCGGCACTGCAAACAGAAGGGAAGCGTAAGAGGTAAACAATTCGGCACCGTCGATGTCCTGCAGCGGATATGGCAGCAGACCCGTCAGGGTGCACGTGCATCTGTTGCTGCGCGCTGCGATCGCAACAACGGCCCAGGAGGAGAATCCACGATCAGGATAATCAGTCATAGAAGAACCGTCGAGATACAGATCACCAGTAAGAGCCTGCGGGCCACCATCCTACTTTAACTCAGCGTCCGTTGGCGTCTGCAACAAATACTGCGGCACTTGGGGCAGAGGCAGGCGACCACGCTCAAGTAGTAGAAGCCCCAGCGGATTATGATCCACATGTGGCCTCAAGAGACTGATAGGAACTGGGAGTGCCTCTTCCATTGCCTGGGGCATCTTCGAGCAATCAACGTGCCTGTGCAGGAGACTGCCAGGGGCACTCTTACATGCTAGGCAGTTGGGAGAGGCAATCCAGCCTTGTTGAAATTGCCGTTGCTGAGGCCATTGGGCTCCAATAGAGGCACTCCGAAGGTAACCGCGCTGCTGCCAATCAAGGGAACCCTTGCTGAGGAGGTACTTCAGGGGCCCACGCCAGAAACCATTGCGAAACTCAGGGCACCCCAAGGTCTCAGCGACTTGATGATTGATCCAACACCGAATAGCATGCCTGCAGCACTGCATGAGGACCCTGGGGCAAATGCCGCCCAACATAATAACAAATCCTCCAGGCAACTTCCAAACCAGAGGCTCAACCAAGACGATCCCAACCCGGTCCAGAGTGGCCCACAGGGCCCCAAAAGGCCCTCTCACCAGCGGCCATGGGCTGGCCTTTCCCGCAAGCTCCGCAGCGGCCGCGTTGAGGCCGTGCTCCAGGACATGCCGAGGAACAAGACGGGCCCAGAGGACAGTAGCAAAGGCCTTGATGGGCTCCAGGGTAGCCCGCCACATAGGATCATAGTACTGCTGAGGAGCGAGAGCCAACGAAAGAGCGCGGCTCTTCCCACTCATCTTCGAATCAAGAACAGCAGCAGCCTGAGATCTTAGATGCTCCAGCTCCTGCACGGCGGCGCCTTGCACCGAGGTCCCGAAGGAAACGGCAGTTTCGAGGGGGGCTCGGGCCATGATAGCCAACGTGCGCCTCCGAGCAGCGCCGCCCTGGAGGTGTTCGTGGCGTTTCAGCTTGTCCTTGGATGCCTTGATCCTGGATCTCCGAGTGGCCCTCCTGAGAAAACGCCCAGAACTGAAATCAACGCCAAGGTTTCGTTCATGGACAGCTCCTTGGGCCCTCAGTGACACAAGCTTATTCGCAATTTGATCACGCAGCAACGTGTCGCTGGCTAGCACCCGAGTCTTGTCCAGCGCCAGCCGCAAGTCGACCTGCTGCAGCTCGCGCTGCAAAGTGACACCTGCACGTGCTACGTCGGCAAGCACACGCCCTCGCTCACCCGATCGCTGCAAACCGAAATCGTCGACGACAACCGACAAACAAACCGCTCTGTGCTCACGTTGCACAGCATCGATGGGGCCCCAGGGGGATCAACTGCAAAAGCGCAGTAGCGAAACCACATCCAGGAACGATCGTCGTTTCGGCGGCCACGAAATTGCTCGCGATCCCCTGGGGGGGGGCCCAATAATCGAGGCGAGCGATACACGAGCACCAATAACTTCAGTTGCCAAAGTGGAAATCCGGTGGCCTTCGCTGCTGCAAGCAAATGATGGTGCTTGACCAGCTCGAAAGCCTTCTTTTAATCAAGCAGCAGAGTGGCAGAAGACAAACCCTTAGCCTGATAATACCCAGCCCACACCGCTTGAATGTAAACACACATGTCAGCACTCTTGCCCTTCGTACCCCACCAGAAACTGCGGTAGTTGCGCTTCTGCCACTGAGCGATCAAAGGTCTGCGCAGCTTAGCTTGGATGCGACAAAGGACGTGCAAAAGGCCAAGTGGACGTACACCACCGAGACGCTTCAATATGAAAACAATCTTCGTCGTGAGTGGAGGCCATTCTGCCGCCTCTTCAATCTTGGCGATTATGTCACACAGCAGCTGCAAAGCCGCCTCAGGAAGGTGCAATAACCTCCGAGGCGGGATCTGAGCATAGCCGCAGCCTGTACCTGCAGGAAATGCAATTAAAACCTTCTTAAACACTTGCGTGGGTGGCGGCGGCGGCCTGACTCCCAAATCATCGGGCCACTCAAGGGGGGGCTGCGATTTTCCCACTTGCCACCAATCACCCCACCCCTTCTCCAACACATCCATTTCCCCCATGCTGGTGTTTGGGCGGAGGGTGTAGGAATCGAGAGTGGAAGGCTGCCAGGGGCCAGGCAAATGCACATACTTAACCAGGGCAGCCGCACCGCCCACCGTGAGAATTTTGACCCATTTGTCCCAGTTGACATACTTCAGCTGGACTGCCTGCTTGTGCAATCGCTCGGCGTGCACGGCGGCAATGCTGGCCAAATAGTCGACCACAACGAAATCCAATACACGGATGCGGTCCAAGGCCCTCAGGAAGGCGATAGCCAAGTCCGAGGTGGGCACATCGGGCAAGCTCTGGAGGTACCTAGCGCGCTTGATGGACTGGGCGAACTGGGCAACATTCTGGGGCCTCGAGAAACTCTTGAGAACCAGGGCCAGCGTCCGCCACAAAACGGCTTGGGGGCATAATCGAGGAAAGGGAACAGGTGCAGGACGCGCAGGCCGATACCACCCCACACGTATACCCCCAGCTCTTCCCAATTGTGCTCTGGACAGATCAGGAGGTACCTGGAAAACTTCAAGCCACTCCAACTCAGCAGCTGAAACAAAAACTTTCCAGGATGCGCTCAAAGACGACCCTTCCATGGCACGGGCAGAATGCTCCCATCTGGTAGAAGACGGTTCTTGACGGCATCCAATGGGCAACTCACGAGGAAACCTGCGGGGAACCTTGGCCATTCTGACCTGCGGAATCTTAGCGAGACTGCGAACACTTAGCTGGGCTGGCGTGTGAGGCGCGATGGCAACGTCGTTCGCCGGCGAGACTTCGACGACCGAGGACAGAGCCTGCGACGCAACAAAGAAATCGATGACACGATTCGCGGGCGTGCAAGTGCCAGCGGTCGTGTGAATCGCAACGCCATCAATTGCATCAATCCAGCCCGAGTGCTGCAGCACGTCAGGCTCCACGTTAAAATCACCCATGACAATGTGAGGCATGTTAGCCATCTTAAGCTGCGCTCCCAGCCGGCAGAGAAGATCCCAGTTGGCGGGTGCAAGGCCGATGGAATTGTGCAGATAGAGGGTACATGCGAGAAATCCTCCAGGGAATACCCCCCCCCCCCCCCCCCACACACATGCATTATCATCGCCCTCCCCGTCTGCATCTCGATAGGAATCGACTTAACCTGCGCCAAACCAACATGCTTTGGAACAGCCATAAGAATGCCACCCGACAGGCCACCGCCACACGTGGTCACAGCGGATGAGTACTTGCCTCTCCGCCCTTGCCTTCTGAGTTTATGCCCCATGGCTTCAACCTCGACCACCCGCGTCTCCTGCACACCGACTAGATGCGCCTGCAAAACAGAGGGGGAGGAGAGGAAAATGTCAAGCCCAGAGCGATCAGTGACATTGGCAGAGATATTTTTACAAAAATGTGGGGCCCTGGGCCCCTGACGAGGCGCACAGTGGCTACCCCGTCCGTGACTTTTTGTATGCAAATGCAGCATCATCGAGCGCAGCCTCCAGCTGCGTTCGTGAGACACCGCCTTCACTGGCGACCAGCTTGTCCAGCCACTCGCCACTCTTGAGGTAGTTGACGACCCCGTCCATGTCGACGTCCTCGTCGTCCCCGCCAGCGGCATCCCGACCAGACACACCAGCATGAGGAGTTTCAGCAGCTTGACGTTCGGCACGTTCTGCTGCTTGGGCTGCCTCTCGCTTCTTCTCTTCATATTTGGCTTTGTGGTGGGCTTCTGCGACGCTCTTGATGGTGTCCACGACCGACGGATCGACGCCCAGCTCAGATAACTGCGCCACAAGAAGAGCAGCAGGATCAGCAGGTTCAGGACGGCCTGCTTTCCCCAGCTCCGAGTAGGCATTGGCGGCCTTGCGCGCCGCCTCGAACTCCTGGGCCTCGAGATCCTTGAACTTCGCATGCAGCTCGGCGGACTTGCGGAGCTGCTTGGACAGCAACTCCTGCGAGCGCTCCCACGCGTTCTTCGCCTTCTGCACCCTGTCCTTGAGGGAGTCGTGCTGCTGCTTCGCCTGGCGGCTGACGGCGAGGGGATCGCCCTGTAGCGCAGCACGTAGCCCTTGAAGGTGGCTCTTCTGACCTGGCGACAGCCAGAAGCTGCAAGCCTCGAAATGCTCCTGAGACATGGCGAGCAGCGCGGCCTTGCGCTCAGGGTTGAGCTTGTCGCCACCTGCACCTCCCGCTCCCGCAGCTCCACCCTGCGGCTGAAGGCGAGGAGGACGAACCCAAGCACCAGAAGGAGGACGCGGCTGCCGTTCAGCAGGGCCCGCAGGCTTGGCAGCTCCGCACGCCCAGCACTTCGCCCTCCATGGGAAGTTGCGAGGGAACCCGCACCGCTTGTCGCAGCAGGTCCACGTGGTCGACCAGGCCTTGCTGCCACCATTGCGGGCCATCTGCTGAGCGGGACGGGAAAGAAATCACTGAGAGGAAAGGCTGCCAGAAAAAACAGCGGGTTCACAGGCGGGGGAGCCTCCCCCGAGCGCACAGCTCACTGTAAGCCACCTCGAGAAATGGTTTACTTGAGCCAAAATGGCTTGAGCCAAAATGGCTACGGAGGGCCCCGATCCCTCCCTCCTCCTCCTCCTCCTCGCCTTCCCCCCCCCCACCTCCACACCCTCAACCTGTCATCGAAAATCGGCTCGTCTGCTCCCAACCACAAGATGTCGAGACCAAATCACTGCCCACAAATCCAAAGATCTGGGTCTGCGAAAACACCAAAAGAATGGCCAGATCCCAGCACCCGTGAAGCGTTCGACGATTGAGCCCTAAATACCCGTCGGCCTTCGGCGGTATTCGCGGCGATCTCTGGCATTATTATATTAGATGGCTGGATTGCTTTACTTTGCCAAAGCATCGTGATGTAGCATCTACTATCCGCACCCACTCCAACACTCCTGAAACTAATGTCAAGCTGGCCGAATGTGATACCGCATGCGCCACCACCGTCGCCGCCGAAGCACGAAATACCGTTTACTCGAACACGTGTACTCTTGCAAGGTTGGACGGCCTGACAAAACGGGGCACTGTATCAAGGCCCAAGGTCCCCTCGTGCCGCGGCGCGCATGCGCCTGGATTGCGGCATCGGCGGTGAAAGAGTCGTGGAAATCGCAGAAGGCATAACCCTGAAGGGCGAGGGGCTCAATCACGCAATCATGAATGCGGGGGACCGTAAACCGTGGTGGAAGAAGAGAGCATGCAAACGCGCGATAATGACAATGTCTGACGTCTGCAGACCTTCAAACCCTGAGGGCGGCTGTGGTAACAAAGACGATGGCGCCGCACAAACAAATTCTGACAACCATCGATTGCTGGCAACTCACCAGAGGAGGTTGAAGAGGAAGCGCCTGGCGCGCGCCAGCGCAACGTGGACGGTGCTGGGCAGCATGCAGCTAATTTCTCAACCACCCCTGTTCGAGACAACTTCTCTCCATGCCCCCCTCGTCCCCCCCTCAATCTGGCTCTCCCCCTCTTTCTCATCCTCACTGTGCTTCTCCCCTTGACCTCCCCCGTCTCCCTTCCCTCCTCTTCTTCCTCGTTCCCCCGCTGCCCCCTCCTGGGACACCTGACTTGAGAAGGCAGGGCAGAGAAACCAGTCCTTCGACTTGTTGGTATCTCGGTCCTTTACCAACCTGGCGAGGATCACGAGGGGGAGGGTGATGAAGAAGGAGAAGCAGGAAGGTGCAGCGCACGGGGGACAAACAGAAAAGGTCGTTCTGTCCGCTACAGGACACTTTACCTCATTTAATCAAAGGCCCCCACGAGGGAATGGGGGCCGGTCGGCGGAAAGAGAGCAGCGTGGAATGCTAGGACACCCCGCAACGTCATCATGGAATACTAAAAGACACCCGCTGCGGAATGCTGGCAAAAGAGGTGAGATAATGGGAGCATCGTCGAGAGGGGGCTCACGCGGCAATCGCGCGTGACCGTATCAAAATGACCTCGCCCGAGCCGCCCCCAACATTCCATACAAGATCGTGGCATCAAATTTTTGATTTAGCCTTGAAGCGTCCTTCCATGAAGACGGAAGGTCCACTGTGTGCTTGACACTTCTGAATCCTGGGCCTTTACCACCCCAACTGGGAGACGGACCTCAAGCTTTGCCGGCTGCAAAATAAAATGCCAACCCGTCAGAGATAAGCGCCCATCTTCGAGCTGGACTGGACTCCAAGCGAACGATGTTGGTGTCTCCACCATGCCGAACACAATTTGGAAAACGCGCCCCGAGCAGAAACACAGCGCGAGCGTGAACATAGGAGTGCCACTCCCCTGCTTGCTTGGCCACCCGCGCCACGCAAGAGAGTCCTTCCGACCATAACAATCGCAAGTCGGCATCCCCGTTCCATCCAAGGTGGCCGCGTCCACCCTGTTCCTTCCTCGCTCCTCCTCGCCCTCCTCCTCCTCCTCGCCCTCCTCCTCATCCTCCTCCCCCCCCGAGGGTCATCATCCTTTTGCCTCGTCATCTTCTTCCCCCGCGTCTTCATCTTTTTGCTCCTTCTCATCCTGCCTTCCCCCTTCCCCCTCCGCCTCCGCCTCCTCCTCCTCCTCCTCCTCCTCTGCCTCCACCTCCCCATCTCTCCCCTCCAAATTAGAACTGCGAATTCGGTTTCTGCTAAGAGATGGACGGGAACCTCCCCTTTTCCGCAATGGGGTGGGGGCTGAGCTGGGCCTGTATTTCAGTCCCGCGCCCCCACCAGGCTTCGCTCAGGAAACAGGGCCCCAAGACAGACTGCCTTCTTTGGCCTATTTGCACGGGAGCAATCTGGGCTTGGTCCTGTAGGTCAAGCGCGGGAGGCGATTGCAGTATTTGGCGCCCGCACTGCGGTATCAGTCCCGAGGCTGAGCTCCACAGACTTGGTGTAGTGCCCTTGCAATTCGAAGTTCCAAAACATTTCGGAAGCTTTTGCTGGGAGAGGGGCCACAGCCCCGACGGAACGCCTTGTCTGGTGGCGTCGCGGCCTCGCACCCAAGTCGTGGACCTAGGCCCCCTCTCTTCCCGACGAGCCTCTCGTTGCCCCCTCTGGTGCCTTCCCTGGCTTTGGGGAAGACCGCGTTGAGGGGGGGGGGGGGCGGAAGACGCGAGCGGGGGAGAGTTCTCATAACAGCGCAGGCTCAGGCGGGTGTGTTGGGGTGTGGCGATCTGCAGGCACACCTTGGACGAGCTACCAACGACGGTGGCGGCGGCCAGCCTTGCGTGTGCTGCTGGAGGGGGCATTCCTGGAAACCAGAGTCTCAATCCTGGCGAGCGGTTGGCCCTGCTCAGCGTTCCCTCATTATCCTGCGTTGCTGGGCCCTCGAAGTAAAGAGACAGCGCCCCGCGTCTTCTCTTCCCCTCCTGACTCCATCATCCTCTCTTCTCAGCTCCTCCCCTCTCTGCTCATCATTCCCCTTCCTCCCTCCTCCTACTTTCTCCCCCTCCTCCTCCTCCTCCTGCTCCTCCGCCTCCTCCTCCTCCTCCTCCTCCCCCTCTTTCTCCTCCTCCTCCTCCTCCTCCTCCTCCCCCTCCCGCTCCATCATCATCATCATCATCAGCATCATCATCATCATCATCATCATCATCATCATCATCATCATCATCATCATCATCATCGTCATCATCATCATCATCATCAGCAGCATCAGCATCATCTTCATCATCATCAGCAACAGCAGCAGCATTATCTTCGTCAGCACCATCAGCATCACCATCAACATCATCAGCAGCAGCAGCATCAGCATCAGCATCATCAGCATCATCATCATCGCCGTCATCATCGCCATCATCATCAGCACTAACATAATCATCATCATGCTCATCATCAACATCATCTTATTCTTCATCATCACCAACATCATCAGATTCATCAGCCCAATCATCATGTTCCTCCGCATTTCCTATGCCATCATAACAACCATCAGCATGGAGACCGGCACCAGCATCAGCATCATCATCATCATCAGCATCAGCAGCAGCAGCACGATCATCATCATCGGCAACATCAGCATGATCAGCAGCATCAACATCATACTCAACATCATCTCCAACATCAAAAGCATCGTCATAATCAGCATCGTCATCAGCCTGCATCATCATCATCATCATCAGCATCATCATCATCACCATCATCACCATCATCATTGCCATAGTCATCATAATCCTCCGCGTCAGCACCAGCATCATCATCAGCATCATGATCATCGTCAGCACCACCAACATCATCACCACCATCGTCATCATCGTCATCATCATCATCCCCATCTCCATCACAAGCATCGTCATCATCATCATCATCAGCATCATTGTCACCATCGTCATCATCAACGCCATCATCAGCATCACCACAGTCAACATCAGCCGCATCAACAACATCAGCATACTCATCATCATCGTCATCAGCAACATCATCATTGTCAGCATCACCATCACCATCATCATCACCATCACCATGATCGTCGTCAGCATCAGTATCGTCAGCATCAGCATCATCAGTAGCAGCGTTATCATCAGCATCATCAACAACATCACCATTATCATCAACATCAACAGCAGCATCAGCGTCAGTCTCATCACCATCACCAGCAGCATAACATCATCATCACCACCATCACCATCACCATCACCATCATCAGCAACATAATCATTATCAA